CCTGGGTGAGTGCAGGATCTCATCCCAGCTCACATCAGGTCCGCCGCAGCCTCTTGGCTGATTCCTCAAAGTCGGGACCCCTGCTGCCGGTTCAGGTTCAGCAAGGCATGATTAAATATTGCTGCCATTGTTGTTGGTGTCTCCAAGGAATACCACCGGATTTGGCCACCCCCCCGCTCACACCCTCCTTCTTGCTCAGACTTGACTTTTGCAATTGTTTGCTGGATGTTTTTCCTTCCGCCTCCTCCAGCCATCAGCAGCCCGACAGACTGGCAGCAGAGTGAGGGGGGTAAGGGCGTCCTGGCCGAGGGGCTGTGTCCCTGGTGTATCCCTGGGGAGCCCCATGCTGTGGCTCCCAGGAAGGCCCCGACATGGGGATGGGATTTTTCCCCTGCCAGTGGCACCAGCAGCGTTTGTGCCTGACCTGGCACTTCGGGAGAGGGAGGCACCGGCTCACGTCAGCACCCGGGAGGATGTTGGCACAGAGGGCTGGCGTCTGGCAAGAGAAGGGATACCAGCTGCCATTCCTGCCTGGGTCCTGCTGCCTGCTCCCTCTGCCTCCCACAGCCCTCCTGCTGCACCCCACTGCCAGCCATGCACATCCTGTGCTGGGGCAGCCCCACAGGAAGGAGAGGCAAATGGACTTCTGGGAAGGTTTGGGTGCCCTCAGAGCAAACAGCCCAGCAGCACGGGGCAGGCAGCTGGGGGATGAAGACTGAGGGAGAGGAGGGTGCCAGGCTCCAACCCCATGGGTAGTGTCTGTCCCCAGGGAGGGTGGCATGTGGCAAAGCAGGATCAAGATGTTGGCCACAGTCCCCACCTCAGCCCCAACATCCCCAAGCCCTGCCACTGCTCTGTTCCCACTCCATGCCTGGGGGTCTCCAATGAATCAGGGATGGCCTAACTCAAACCCAGTGCTGCATGGCCGGGGGATACCCTGGGTGCCTTCACCCCTTCTACCTGTACTAAAGGGAGGCAGGATGAGATAGTTGCTGGGGCTGGGGCTGGAACAAGCCCTGGGAGCCAGCTACGGGGCAGGGGATGAGCATGGGGAGGGAGAGGGGTTGGTTGTAGCTCTGGACAGTGGGATGGATATGGAGAAGTGTCTCTTCACCTCCCTCTTGGGCTGGATCCAGCACCATCCTCTCCTCAGCCTCAGCTCCCAGCCCATCCACCCCAAGGCATGGACCAGCACCCAGAGACCGCTCCCTCTGCACCATGACTCCTGCATGGTGGCCGCTGGTCCTGTGCCACGCTGAATGTTGCCTGGGGCTGGTGGGTTCCAGCACAACCTGCCTGTGCCGGGCTGGTGTTTGTGTTGCCCACTGCCATGTTTGCACTGCACACAGTCTGGCTGTTTGTTTGCACAGAGCCACAGGAGCCAAGCCCAGTGCTGGTGTCAGTGCCGGTGGTGGGCACACCACAGGGAAAGCACAGACAGGGTGCTGCTCCCCGCCAGTGGCACCGTGCTGGCCATGCCACCTCCCCGTGCTCAACAGGGCAATGCAACTTTGCCCGCATCCTTCCTCCCAGCACATGCTGCAACATCCGCTTGCCTGCTGCAGCCTATGTGGTGCTGTTCTCACACCGGGATGGCCATAGCCCTGACGTGCTCCCGGCCCTTGCCATGAGCCCCACCGCCAGCAGCCCTGTCTTGCCCCACTGTGGATTTGCTCAGATGTGACACATCCCTTCCCAGTGCATGTCCTCACATCCCCTTTCCCAGGAAGACCTGCCATGGTGTTGTGCCACCCCTCCTGCCAGGGACACAGGCACTGATGCTGCCTGGGGTTGGCCTTATCCCCTTGCCAAAGACTTGTGAGGTGCAGGATGGTTTGGGGACACGCTGCTCCCCATGAGCACCAGTGCAGGTGGTCCATGCGGGTCACTAGAAGGAGGCAGGGGGGTCCCCAGGACTCTGGCCCAGGCAGGTGGCCATGGTGGAGTTAGGACCCATGAGTGGCCCTGGTGTTGTGAGGTTGTTGTTTTGGGCTTGGCTCCTGTGTATTCATTTCTGGCCAGTTGAAACTGGTTCACAACTTTTATAAGGAGTGGGATGAGTGGGATCCTGTGAGTGCCAGCAGCTCCGGAGGGGAGCCCACACGTGTGGCTGCTGGTGCTGGTGGCCATGAGAGCCCATGTGCCTGGGGCAGACAGCGTGGGTCTCCAGGCAGCAGATGCCAGCTCACAGCCCAGACCAGAGGGGAGCAACCATGAAGCTCCCTACCAGGCTTTTGGCTGCAGCATCTTCCCCTCCAGCACAGCCCCAGCAGCTGCTCTGCAGCAGGAGGATTGGAGGGACACTGCCTGCCCACTGCTCTTCATCCAGCTCAACCAGCTCCTCAGCACCCCGGCAGGGCTGGAGTGGAGAGAGATGGCCAGGTAAGTAATGCTTTGGGAAGTTGAGCCTTTCAAAGCATTGGAAGCTGCTGCTCTGATGGAGCCCACAGCATCTCCCAAGGCTGGTGGTTCCTCACATCAGCCCCAAAGCAGGGCTGCTCACCACACTCTGCCCCCACCAGTGCATGCACTGCTTCTGCCTGGCTTAAGGTGATTTGTTTCAGGGAGAGGGCAGGGTGCCAGCAGGGTGCAGGCAGTGATTCTGCATGGGCACAGTGCTCTGGCTTCGCTCATCCCTTTGCTGCCTCTCCAAGGCTCCAGAGGCTTAGCTGAGGCTGGGATGGTGCTTTGTTGCTGCCCAGATCTGGCTGCCTGGTGGGTATCCGGAGGCGACTGGGTGGGTAGGTCAGGGCAGGCTTGGCTGGGGATGATGGAGACCAACAGGGAAGAACCAGGGCCAGCTGGTGTGGGGCAGGAATATGGCTGGGATGTCCCCATACCCCACACTGTCCTCCACAGCTCAGCAGGGGAATAGGGCTGTGGGCCATGAGAGTCTGGGGGCAGAAATGGGTCTTGTCTAGAGGTCTAGGAGGGGGCAAAGACAAAGGGCTGTGATGGTTGCCCCAGCACCAAGTCCTTTCCTCCCAGCACCCTGCTGTGGGCAGCAGCCGTCTGCTGTGGGGCTGCCCCATGCAGTGTGCCCAGCCATCCGCAGCACTGTGCCCACCCAAGGGGACAAAGGGAATCTCTGTCTGTGCCCAGCAGTTAAATATTTGGCACAGCTTGAGTGTGGCAAACAGCTCAAGACATTTCTGGTTTGACTCTGCTAAGAGCAGGCCAAGCCCCAGCCCCAGCACAGCCTGGGGATGGGTGGGTTGGGAGCAGCCCTGTAGAGAAGGATTCTGGGGGGACTGGTGGGTGATGGATGGGACATGACCCGCCTTCAGTGAGTGCTTGAGCCCAGGACACCCCTCCCCCCCCGTGTGCTGGGCTGCACCCCCAGAGCGTAAGCAGCAGGTCGAGGGAGGGGATTCTGCCCCTCTGCTGTTGCTCTGGGGAGCACTCACTGCAGTCCTGCATCCAGGGACAACAACTCAGGAGGGACATGGAGCTGTTGGAGCAAGTCCAGAGGAGGCCACAGAGATTTTGCAAGGCTGGAGCAGCTCTGCTCTGGAGACAGGCTGAGAGAGCTGGGCTTGTTCAGCCTGGAGAAGAGAAGGCTTCAGGGAGACCTTAGAG